TACGGTTCCAATACGGTTCCAATACGGTTCCAATACGGTTCCAATACGGTTCCAATACGGTTCCAATATGGTTCCAATACGGTTCCAATACGGTTCCAATACGGTTCCAATATCTGCAGCTATTATTTTGGTGAAGACAAAAATGTCGCAAAAACTGTCGCATTTCGGCTTTTTGGTCCAATCAAGATATTGAGAGTTTTAGTAAAAGATTTACCGAAAAATGAACATATCATGATCTTTTATAACCTGCAACAACATTTGCAAAACAATTGAAAAATAGTAACAAAACGGTAAGATAACAAAACGATGGAGCATCGGCAGCAGGTTCCAAAATTGGTTGCGTTGAAGTTGACTCCTTTACAGTGACTTTCTGTTCGTTTTCTTTAGAAGACATCTCAAACTTGCAAGAATGCACTTTTACAGCTTCGCCGGTGGTTTTGATGACAAACTGAAAAAAAGGAAATAAAGTAGCTTAGCGCAACAGAAAGTGCAGAACATGTTTGCAGGGCCCAGCACAAAGAACGCTAAATTTTTTCAACCTTGAAGGCTTCTTTTGAATTGAGGCAAAACCATTCTCAGTCGGCTCTCCCACTACCGGGTTGAAGTCGGAGTTTATTGGCTTCGTGAAGTGTTTCTGGTTAAACTTTCCTTGGCTAAATAGATCTGTTTGGATAAATAGATAATACTACTATCGTTAGATCGTTTGTTAGATCTGCATCTACTTTCTCATTTTAGATCGCTGCCCAGCAGAGCATCAACATCGACGGCCCGTACGATTTCGAGCCGCCTTCAAAGAAGTGAATAGGGCCAATGGGGAACAAAAAAAAATCGATAATGGAAACAAATGAACTTTATTATTTGTGAACGTGAATAAATAAATATTGTATCTTCTCAGGATTGGGTTGTGGATGATGTACTTTTCCTTTTTTCTGATTTTTGTTTTATTAAAAAGTTCATGACCCAAAGTGATAAATTGTTAAATCCTGTTTTGTTTTTACCCTTTACAAAGGGGAATCCTACCCATTTTCCAAATTCTTTCCTAGTGCTTTTCAAGATTCCACACAACTGGATTCATTGAATTTATTTTCGAATGTCATTAAAACTAGTAAATAAACGCTTGGAAATTGTTGTCGCCGTTATCGGTATTCTCGGACGACACAGCACAGCCTTACTTGGACATGCTTGAATCACGGAGACTTTGTGGTGAGTTTCTTTCAAAATCTCTGCAAAATCGGTGTCGCCGAGACTCGTCAACGCTAAAAACTTTCAAAATTCCAATGTAATCAACAATCGTTTTCTAAAAAGCACCAGTCTTCGCAAGATTTTGCAATGGATGCCCGATTCTGTAGAAATGCTTTGATATTCCATTGAATTTAGCTATTTTTATGATCTAGCAATTCTACCTTTGCTTAGCTCCAAGTCAGTAAATCAGAAAAAGGAAAAGTACATCATCCACAACCCAATCCTGAGAAGATACAATCATTTATTAATTTATTCATTCACAAATAATAAAAAGTCCATTATCCATTTTTTTTTGTCCTCCATTGGCGCTATTCACTTCTTTGAAGGCGGTTCGAAATCGTACGGGTCGTCGATCTTGATGTTCCTGCTTGGCAGCGATCCAAAATGAGAAAGTAGATGCAGATCTAACAAACCATCTAACAATCCCAAGGCAGCTAATGGTAAACGCTACAAAAATAAAACCCTACCCGTTGAGCTTCTCGTAGGTGAATTGATGATCGTACATGATCGGTGTACTCCGAAGCAATCGTGGTAGATGAGAGCCTTCTGATAGTCCTAAAAACCTTTGATCAAGTCAAAATGCTGGCCTTAAGTCGCTAAAAATAAAAAGTCAGAATCAGCAATTTGAGTTTTGCTATGAGTTTGCAAAGAATCACCTACATTCTTGCACTTGAGCGTTCCGTAGAGATGCTTATTCTTGCGAGACTCCTCTTTGCGGCTTTACAGCGTTGTACAGCGTTCTTATCGCCAATGTTCTTCAAGGCAGACCTAAACAGAAAAAGTAAATATCAGTGAAAAACATATGACGTTTAGCTTCGTGAACTTTCCAAGTAATGGCGTCAAGAAAAGCTCTAATATGGGAGCGTTGCCAAGTAGCCCAAGTTTACTCTCAAACCCTGATAACTCAACACCAGCGCTTGAGAGTAAACTTAGACTATGCGACGCTCCGATGCGGGTCTTTTTTATTAGACCTCTTACGGTACGGCGAATTGCTCAAAATCCATTACCTTCCTTGACGATGAGATCCAACAGCAGGTCCATGACTCACATCATCTTTCACCGACCTCTCAATGCATCGATGACAAGCCAGCGAGGCAAAACGCACCGATTCTTTGAAGCGGACTCAGCACGTGTCGTCTTCAATTCACCCTGAAAACAAGAAAGCCACATTAAAAGGTCAAAATACAATTCAAGTTAAAATCCATTACCCATTATCTAGAACTTAATAGGAGCCGTATTGGAACCGTATTGAATCCGAATTGGAACCATATTAGAACTTAATAGGAGCCGTATTGGAACCGTATTGGAACCGTATTGGAACCTTGTTTGTTTGATAATTTGAACCGTATTGGGACAGTATTGGAATTATATTGGAACGGCATTGGATTTATATTCAGCTTAGGATCAGGTATTCAGTCTACAATTGTACAATTCCGCTTTAGTTTTGACAAGTCCTCGAGCATGAGCAACTTTGCTTTGTGAATGCTTTTGTGAATGCCTAAGAGACGTGTTTAATTTATATAGCTCAAAAGTATACCTCCTGAACACAGTTACTTTGAAGAGAACCGGCAATCCTCTCAACTGATCCGCTGATTCCTCGAGTGATTCTCTTTCTACAATCTACAATCAACCTCGAGTGATTTTCTTTCTGCAAGCTGTTGAATCTAAGAAGCTTAGGTTGATACAAAGATTATAGTCCATGCTGATTCGCATATATAACGATTTCAGAAAATGTTAATTGAAGTTGAAACGGATTCGAAACACAAACTCTTTGAATTAAATATGCAACAAGTGAAAAAAGTTCGAAGTTATTTATTTAGCCAACTTTTGACTGCCAGAGGACCAGGTCTTTCTCATCATGGATGCGAGGCCGAGGATCTCTGTTAGAATGACATTAGCCCATACCTTAGCCTTATTTACATGTTTCATGGTCGTGTTTATATGCCAGGTAAATATTTTGCTTAAATATTTATTCCAAATTGAGTGATTTTATGCGCAGCTCTTCACTTCAGGCAGTTATTTTCTAAAAATACAGCTAGTTGAAGGTAAGCCTTACAACTCACTTCTCCGGCTTCAACTACCGCAGCATCTCGAACCTTCCTAGGCCTTGTGGGAATTCTTCTTGAATATGTATATGAAGGTTCGAATACGGTTCGAATACGGTTCGAATACGGTTCGAATACGGTTCCAATACGGTTACAATACGGTTCCAATACGGTTCCAAAACGGTTCCAATATGGTTCCAATACGGCTCCTATTAAGTTCTAATATGGTTCCAATACGGTTCCAATACGGTTCCAATACGGTTCCAATACGGTTCCAATACGGTTCCAATACGGTTCCAATACGGTTCCAATACGGTTCCAATACGGTTCCAATATGGTTCCAATATGGTTCCAATACGGTTCCAATACGGTTCCAATATCTGCAGCTATTATTTTGGTGAAGACAAAAATGTCGCAAAAACTGTCGCATTTCGACTTTTGGTCCAATCAAGAATGGGAGTAAAGACCGAAAATGGACAATCATGATCTTTAAACCGCACAACATTGCAAAACAATTGAAAATAGTAACAAAACGGAAGAAACGAGGGCACGGCAGCAGGTCCAAAATTGGTTGCGAAAGTTGACCCACAGTGACTTCTGTCGCCAGAAGACACCAAACGCAAGAGCACTACAGCTCGCGGTGGTATGACAAACTGAAAAAATAAAGAGCAGCGCAACAGAAAGGCAGAACAGGGCCAGCACAAAGACAAATTTTTCAACCTTGAAGGCTTCTTTTGAATTGAGGCAAAACCATTCTCAGTCGGCTCTCCCACTACCGGGTTGAAGTCGGAGTTTATTGGCTTCGTGAAGTGTTTCTGGTTAAACTTTCCTTGGCTAAATAGATCTGTTTGGATAAATAGATAATACTACTATCGTTAGATCGTTTGTTAGATCTGCATCTACTTTCTCATTTTAGATCGCTGCCCAGCAGAGCATCAACATCGACGGCCCACGATTTCGAGCCGCCTTCAAAGAAGTGAATAGGGCCAATGGGGGAACAAAAAAAATCGATAATGGAAACAAATGAACTTTATTATTTGTGAACGTGAATAAATAAATATTGTATCTTCTCAGGATTGGGTTGTGGATGATGTACTTTTCCTTTTTCTGATTTTTGTTTTATTAAAAAGTTCATGACCCAAAGTGATAAATTGTTAAATCCTGTTTTGTTTTTACCCTTTACAAAGGGGAACCCTACCCATTTTCCAAATTCTTTTCTAGTGCTTTTCAAGATTCCACACAACTGGATTCATTGAATTTATTTTCGAATGTCATTAAAACTAGTAAATAAACGCTTGAAATTGTTGTCGCCGTTATCGGTATTCTCGGACGACACAGCACAGCCTTACTTGGACATGCTTGAATCACGGAGACTTTGTGGTGAGTTTCTTTCAAAATCTCTGCAAAATCGGTGTCGCCGAGACTCGTCAACGCTAAAAACTTTCAAAATTCCAATGTAATCAACAATCGTTTGCAATGGATGCCCGATTCTGTAGAAATGCTTTGATATTCCATTAAATTTAGCTATTTTTATGGTCTAGCAATTCTACCTTTGCTTAGCTCCAAGTCAGTAAATCAGAAAAAAGGAAAAGTACATCATCCACAACCCAATCCTGAGAAGATACAATATTTATTTATTTATTCACGTTCACAAATAATAAAGTTCATTTGTTTCCATTATCGATTTTTTTTGTTGCCCATTGGCCCTATTCACTTCTTTGAAGGCGGCTCGAAATCGTACGGGCCGTCGATGTTGATGCTCTGCTGGGCAGCGATCTAAAATGAGAAAGTAGATGCAGATCTAACAAACCATCTAACAATCCCCAAGGCAGCTAATGGCAAACGCTACAAAAATAAGACCCTACCCGTTTGAGCTTCTCGTAGGTGAATTGATCATCGACATGATCGGTGTACTCGAGGCGATCGATGTAGGTGAGAATCTTCTGATAGTCCTAAAGAAAAACCATTGATCAAGTCAAATCTAACTGCAGAATCAGCAATTTGAGTTTTTGTCATGAGTTTGCAAAGAATCACCTACATTCTTGCACTTGAGCGTTCCCTAGAGATCCTTATTCTTGCGAGATTCCTCCTTGCGGCCTTGTACAATGTTCTTATCGCCAATGTTCTTCCAAGGCAGACCTAAAGCAAATCAGTGAAAAACAAATATCAGTGAAAAACATATGACGTTTAGCTTCGTGAACTTTCCAAGTAATGGCGTCAAGAAAAGCCCTAATATGGGAGCGTTGCCTAGCCTAAGTTTACTCTCAAACTCTGATAACTCAACATCAGCGTTTGAGAGTAAACTTAGACTATGCGACGCTCCGATGCGGGTCTTTTTTATTAGACCTCTTACGGTACGGCGAATTGCTCAAAAGCAATTACCTTCCTTGACGATGAGATCCAACAGCAGGTCCATGACTCCACATCATCTTTCACCGACCTCTCAATGCATCGATGACAAGCCAGCGAGGCAAAACGCACCGATTCCTTTGAAGCGGATCTCAGCACGTGTCGTCTTCAATTCACCCTGAAAACAAGAAAAGCCACATTAAAAGGTCAAAATACAATTCAAGTTAAAAAAATCCATTACCTTGTGATTTGTGTACTTGCGAGCAATCCCGAAGTCGAGGATGTAGACCGTGTGCATCTGATTGTTCAGATCACATGCGTAGTTTGCTGGCTTTAAGTCGCTAAAAATAAAAAGTCGACAAGAATGGAGTTGTTTTAAAATGCTCAAGACTCAATTCGCCCACAAAACACTTTTAAGCTCTAAACCATTTCAAGCTCTAAACCATTTCAGAACATTCAAGGAAACAAATCGATCATTGAAGGCATGTTTATGAAGGTCCTTAACCGCTTCCAGGCACTGCATTCCGAACAAGTCCGGTGCCCAAAAAGAAAACCTAAAAGAAGGACAATATTAAATGTAAAGTTTCCATCTGCTCGATTCACATTTTCATTATGTGACGTTAAACAAGCTAAATCTCATCTATATATTGGATCAATTATCCAACAACAAACATCAGGCAAACAAAACATCAACAACACCATTAAGCTGAACATTGACCAAGTGCCACCATTAACCTGGACTTCAACTTGGACTTTTTAGGTACTTGACGAATTGGGAGTGCCTCGCAAATGTGGATCGACGAATGGTTCCACTTGCGAACAACAGCCATATCCATCAGCAACCCCATTACTTCCATCAGCGCGCACAACTTCACTCAAACTATGAAAACCAGGCTATTAGGGTGAGTTATTTTGAAATTGGAATGAGACAATTCAAACGGAAAAACTGAATGTCTTTCGCTTAATGCGCTTTCGTTCACGAGAGCCGAATACTTTTTACTTCACCCTGTAGTTTAGTTTCAGACTGCGCTAACTGAGCTAATTCTCTCTAGAACGTCGGCTCTCGTGAGATTGACTTCGAGACGCATGAATGCAAATTTTGCCTTGAAGTGTTCGAAGGAAAAGGGCTAAACAATGTACCGGTCGTTATGAAGCATATCATCATGAGGTCGGTTTAATGGAAACCGATTTTGACTCTGTTTAAGAACAGTTTAGTTAAAAAACTAGCTCTAAATCTTCTACATTTTAGTGCATCAAGAAATGGCTGATGCAAACGGAAAGCCAGACGAATTCGTGTCCAAAATTGAGATGTGGCCCGATCAGGAGGCGTATCTAAGTCTTTAGGTCAGAATACATTAGACTTTCAACATAGGTCCGTTATTTTAGGTATTAGTGTCGATTATTCATCTTATCTAGCCTATCTTGGTGTTTTTGGTGTCCAGTATGCATTACTTTGTGTGCTCAAAGCTTTATTTTTGGCTACTGCGCAGTTATTTAGTGGCCCAAATTTGTTTCCGTACCCCTCTTCTCTCCGATTTTAGTCAAATCTTGTTTTTACGGTGCAGTAGCGTTTCTTGAAGATTTTCTGAAAGTGTGATCATTTTTGTATTGAATACGCCTTCGGGTGCAAATATCATAGAATTTTATATTAAAGAATTGGATTTCTCCGTTGCCTCATTTTTGTATAATTTAATTGAGCTTTTGGTATTGTTTTTTGAACGCAAATATGGTTCCAATATCGTTCCCCGTATTGGAGCCATATTGGAATTTAATAGAAACCGTTTTGGGACCGTATTAGAACCTAATTCAAATCCCGATTTCTAACATTTTTCGCATCAATGGATCGTAAACTCGTAGAGTGGGCACCTTATTCAAAGAGATGAGCCTAAGAGGAAGTTGAAAGAGATGAGCCTAAGAGTGTGATGAATACACCTTCGGGTGCAAATATCAGGAGATTTTTATATTAAAGAATTGGATTTCCAGGTCTAAGCTAGGGCCAAGCTCCAATACGTTCCAATACGGTTCCGATACGGTTCCAATATGGTTCCTATTAAGTTCTAACACGGTTCCTATTAGGTTCTAATGTGGTTTCAATAGGGTTCCAATACTGCCAATCCGGTTCAACACCGTCTACTCACGGTTCGAATACGGCCCTGTTAAGTCCTAATATGGTTAGAATGCGGTTCCATTACGGGTAAATTCAACAAAGATGGTCAAATGTACTATCAAAAAAACAAAGAAAAACTTCCAAAAAACCTACGTGCTTCTTCGCCTTAAAATGATTTTTCTATCTGTTCCTTTTATTTGAGATTTATATTTAAATTTCAAAATATTCCGGCAAATATTCAAAACCTTTAAAATATGGCCTTAAAGGTTGGATTGGGATTTACAAATTACAGTGATTCTTTTAACTTTGCATCAAAAAAAATTTACATGCATACGCACACAAGCTACTGCTGCAAAAAAATGACTCCCATATCAAACAACTTTTTTCACACGTATTCTCTTTTCTGTCGGCCCAGTAGGTTTTTTATCATGTGATTTTGCAAAACTTCAGGTTCTGCACTTGTAGAATCGGAATTTGATTTGATTCATTATCGATAATTTAGTGGGACGTAAGCGAACGTTGAAAACGCTTACCGCGGTGGCCTGGTTGACAAGCCGCCAAGGGATGAGCCAAGCTAGCGCAAGTTACTTGGATGCTCTGTACCTTCAGTTCAGCGCGACATTTCCAATGTATCAGGTTCGTTTTTATCCATTTTCCCAATTTTTGGTCTAGTTTACGACAAAAGAATGGCGAAGGCTTGCTAGGCGTGCTGGCAAAGAACAAGAAAAAAGCTTGTGGGCTAGAGACGAAGGCGAGAATTGAGGATCTCATGCTTCTTTTACCACCTGCGTCTATATTTACATGGTAAGCATTAAACCCAGACTCTTTAAGTTTTTAGTGTCTTACAGGGACGGCACCAACTCGATGTCAAAATCAAAAATGATTTTTTTTGCTTTTTTAATTTTGAGGCCTGGCTCTTGTTGATCAGCAATTTATGGATGAATAAAATCGTTTTTCAAATAAACTTTGAGATATGAAGGAGACGAAGAAAAAGAAGAAGAAAAGAAGAAGTGTAGAATTATAATAACAAAAAAACACTAACTTTCTCGTAAATGCAAAATCTCCAACCTTTGGGATCGATAGATCTATCGATAAAAACTTTGCTCGTATATCTCAGTTCCACATGATAATATTTAGTCCTTAAATGCAAATTGTACTTTTTGCGCCTATCACTTAACCTTGAAGGCTTCTTTTTGAATTGAGGCAAAACCGGTCGGCTCTCCCACTACCGGCCCATATTTGCGGGGAAACGGTAGAGATCATTCTCCAGAATCGTCTTGTAGCGTTGCGCATTCAGCGTTAGTTTAGAAGCACGAGTGGACCCAGTGAATTTCTGGACCAGAAATAGACCATAGCCACGCCATGAGAGGCAGCCCGATTTGGGTTCTTTTGTGGGCCAGAACGAGCGCATTGTCTTCTCATAAAGGTGTAACTCGCAGACGTCCACTTTTTGATGCAAGATGAACGCCTCCGGCGAGCTTGGCCTAAACAACAAGCTATACAGTTGTTTCGGTACAGCCGAAGAACTCAGCGGCGGCTTTTCTAGACATTCCATTTTTTTGAGCTTCGACGATTTTCTCCTTGTCGACAAAGAAACTGCGATGTTAAAGGCCTTTCCCACCAATTTTTGTTTTCTCAAAAATTCGTGACACCTTTTAAATTGTTAAATTCATCTTTGTATCGACTGGATTAAATCCATAATTTTTGTGTCGACACATTGTCTTCTAGAAAAGTCAAGTTGAACCGCAGTTTGAACCAAACAAAGATGTGCTTATAATCTTTGATTTTGTTAGAAGAGATAATAAGCTCTTTAAATGTGACACGTTAAACAAGCTAAAACTCATCTTCCTATTAAGTTCTAATATGGTTCCAATATGGTTCTAACATGGTCCCAATACGGTTCTAATACGGGTCGAATACGGTTCCAATAGGGTTCCAATACGGTTCGAATACGGTTCCAATACGGTTCCAATACGGTTCCAATACGGTTCCAATACGGTTCCAATACGGCTCCAATACGGTTCCAATATGGTTCCAATACGGTTCCAATATGGTTCCAATATGGTTCCAATACGGTTCCTATTAAGTTCTAATATGGTTCCAATACGGTTCCAATACGGTTCCAATACGGTTCCAATACGGAATAGGGATCATTGCAAGAGTTAGGCTATAACGAATGTAATAGTCTAACAGTCTAACTATAAGCGCATGCTAAAAGTGTCCAAGAAAAGACACTAAATCACCGTCTTGATCTCTGCCCCCACTAAAGTTTTAATTTAAGCAATTTTTTTTGATCACCTTATTCTGGTGGCATTCTTTGCAATTTTGGCTATTTTGGCATCAAAACTTCGCTTCGCGAAACTCTATGAAAGACTATTTTTATTAATGTTTTACATTGTTCTTTTTTCCTTTCAGGGAGCAATCAAGGGTGGAAAGTCGACCTACACCATCGGCAGACTGCTCTGCGAGGAAGGCTTTGGAGTGTTGTAAGGTAAATCTTGTGTTTGGCTAAAGTTAAAATTGTTCCTTGCCACAAATATATACAATCATTTATTAATTTATTCATTCACAAATAATAAAGTCCATTATCCATTTTTTTTGTCCTCCATTGGCGCTATTCACTTCTTTGAAAGCGGTTCGAAATCGTACGGGCCGTCGATCTTGATGTTCTGCTTGGCAGCGATCCAAAATGAGAAAGTAGATGCAGATCTAACAAACCATCTAGCAATCTCCAAGGCAGCTAATGGCAAACGCTACAAAAATAAAACCCTACCCGTTTGAGCTTCTCGTAGGTGAATTGATGATCGACATGATCGGTGTACTCGAAGCGATCGTGGTAGATGAGAGCCTTCTGATAGTCCTAAAAAACCTTTGATCAAGTCAAAATGCTGGCCTTAAGTCGCTAAAAATAAAAAGTCAGAATCAGCAATTTGAGTTTTGCTATGAGTTTGCAAAGAATCACCTACATTCTTGCACTTGAGCGTTCCGTAGAGATGCTTATTCTTGCGAGACTCCTCTTTGCGGCTTTACAGCGTTGTACAGCGTTCTTATCGCCGATGTTCTTCCAAGGCAGACCTAAACAAAAAAGCAAATATCAGTGAAAAACATATGACGTTTAGCTTCGTGAAATTTCCAAGTAAAGGCTTCAAGAAATGCTCTGATATAGGAGCGTTGCATAGCCTAAGTTTACTCTCAAACCCTGATATCTCAACACCAGCGCTTGAGAGTAAACTTAGACTATGCGACGCTCCGATGTGGTTCTTTTTTATTAGACCTCTTACGGCACGGCGAATTGATCAAAATCATCAAAATGTTGTTGGATAAATTATCCAACAACAAACACCAGGCAAACAAAACAACAACAACACCATTAAGCTTAAACATTGAACAAGTGCAATCATTAACTTGGACTTGGACTTGGACTTTTTAGGTACTTGACCAATTGGAAGTGCCTCGCAAATGTGGATCGACGAATGGTTCCACTTGCGAACAACAGCCATCAGCACCGCAACTTTACTCAAACTATGAAAACCAGGTTATTAGGGTGAGTTATTTTGAAATTGGAATAAGAGTGTTCAAACGGAAAAACTGAATGTCTTTCGCTTAATACGCTTTCGCTCACGCCGAATACTTTTTACTTCACACTGTAGTTTAGTTTCAGACTGCGCTAACTGAGCTAATTCTCTTTATCGGTTTTTTGCCTTTCAGGAGGGCTTTGATTGTTGCTAAAAGAATTTAATGAAAGATATTTCTTTTCTTTGATCAGCTTTAAATCCAAATTTAATACAATATGTAATTTAATCCTGAAGCCGCTTTCTTCAACAAAACTTCTCGATTTTCGTCAAAAAAATTCTATGAAAGAGCCAACGGATTTAACCTTCTACTTTGCGAGTCGTGAAATAAAATTTGAAACCACTCTGTTAGACTATAACGAATGTTGCGAAAGCGCATGCTGAAAGTGTCCAAGAAAAGGCACTAAATCACCGTCTTGATCTATGCACCTACTAAAGTTTTTAAGCAAGCCGCTAACATGAAAATCTTGAATAAAATCTCACTCTACTACTGGGATTTCCACAGCCATTAATCAATAAAATTCCAGCTAGGAGCATGTAATTGCACAAATCAAGTTCAAAAACAATACCAAAAGCTCAACGCTATACAAAAATAAGGCAATGGAGAAATGCAATTCGCTATTGATAAAATTCTCTTGACCTTTGCACCGGACGGCGTATTCAGGACAAAAGTGAGCACTTTCAAAAAATCTTCCAAAAACCCTACTGCACTTTAAAAAACAATATTTGACTAAAATCGGAAAGAGTTAGACGAAGAGAAGGGGGTACGGATATAACGACCGGTACATTGTTTAGCCCCTTTCCTTCGAAGACTTCAAGGCAAAATTTGCATTCATGCGTCTCGAAGTCGATCTCACGAGAGCCGACGTTCTAGAGAGAATTTTGAAACATTTTTGAAAAAATTTGAAAAAACAAAAACATTTTTGAAAAAATTTGATTAATGCGGAATTTGCATTCGTAGACTGAGGCAAGACGGATTAGGCCTTTGAGCATAGCTTTCATCATTATCATTACTGCAGCTCTGGGTCATGGTGGGTTTTCTTTGAAGGTTTTTCAAGTTTTTTTTTGCTTGTTAATTTATTTCCTTTATTTCTGACTAAAAATCCTCTCGGTCTGGTTAGTAACTGAATTGCGTCCGACATTTATTTATTAACTTTAGAAAATCCCGCTGGTGGCCGTGATCTTTATTGCCAGTATTGCAGCCGAATGCAGGCCTCGCCCTTTCGGTTGTTACGCTTGGGACTGGGAAGAAGCAGCAAACGCTGGTGCCTCAAAGCATGCCTTTATCACAAAGGCTTGGCACGATAAAAATGTACGTTTTTTTCGTTTCTAAATGTACTATTTAATTATTTAAACCCTTATTTAATGATTTTCAGTGCGCAGAATCAACGGAATGTCCAAGCGATTGCTTTCTCCATGAGATGAAATTCGACAAAAGTAACCTCGAAGAAAAAGGAATTCAAGTCGCTTGCAAAATTTCTAGCTTGTTTTGTGTAAGGTTTGCCTTGATTACCGCAAAGATTTGTTTAGGACAACAAGGAAGCAAATAAGAGCAATTGCATTGCATCACGCGAGGTCGATATAAACTCACTTCTACCCCGCGACTACGAAGACAAGGATCAACTACCCGGCTTTAAAGGCATATTTTAAATCTTTATTTTCTAGGCTGCACTCTCTGCACAAATATGTAAATTCGAAAGTGCCTTTTAGATCTGTTCCTCAGCAATCAAATGTCAGCAACATCTACCTCAAAAGCTTTAGAAAAAATCAAGGTTAAGATCGAGTTTTCAAAGTCTTTAGCCCATGGTTTCAATTGTCTTTAGGCCATGGTCCTCCCCGTATGCCTAAACACTGAAACCGATGTTCTGGAGTGCAAAAAATATTCTGGAAAACGTGGCGAGATCTGTCGGCCGGATCAGCTTAGCGAGGAAGCTCTAAACTTCAAGGAACAACGATTCTGCACCGTGCTCGAATCTGCACTTGGCGGTGGATATCCGGAGTCAGTTCGTTTGGGTGTTTTACTAACCTTAATCCTTAGGCTTGTATCAAAAGAGACGAGCCAATATGCAAAAGTTTCAAACATTTGGAAGTTTACGGGCCTTCCATATCCACTGATTATCTCAGCCTCGTCCAACTTTTTGCCTGGAGAGAGCAAAGATGGAAAGGTAAATCAATTATTTTTATTTTTGACCTTAACGATCTTATTTTAGACTTGTACGGATTACTCAATGAGAGATTGCCGCCCGAAGCCACTTTGCGATGGAGACAATAGGAAAGTCACCTGGAAAGAGCTTGAGATCACGCTTGAGAATAAATATGCTCTTGAAGAATTTGGACCAAAGGAGTGTGAAATATCATGCACTAGCACCAATCAAAATCATTGGCTGTGAGTTTTTAAAGTTCGCTAGTTTTAATCAAGCTTCAGGAAGGCTAGAGAGGAGTCGGGATTGATGTGCCGCATTTTGGATATTGATGGGTTTCCGTTATACCGAAGAGGAAGGCCACCATTCGCTAGGTTTATGAATGCCACGGATAATTTCAATAAGGGCAAATTTTTCGGTTGGTTTTGATTTAATTTTTGACATTTAATTCTTTAATTTGTTTTTTAGGGGTCTCAGGCCATCGCAATAAAGAAGAAAATAGCTTTACAGCCTATCCTTATCCCCTCAACCTTGAGAGCATTCAGGCAAGTTTATTGATGAATCAACTAAAACACAATTTTAGGACCCTGCTCTAAAGAAAACAGTTGAGGAGAATATGTGGCTTAACCACAAGACACATCCTTTCGCAAAAAAGTATGGCAGTCAGATCAAGGCCCTTGATGTCCCTGATTGTGGAGAAGATGATCCGGATCACAAGGTAGAACTATAGTCTTAACTTTATTTGCAATAAGACGATAAATAGATTTGCAACAAAATGATGGGAAACCCAGCCAGGCTGTTGGCCATCATTTTGCTCATCGTCCTCTGTTGCTGCCTCATGGTTACGGGTGTCGGCATCGTGACAGCCTGGTAAAGCTAAGTTTTGGTTTAGTTTTAAGACATTACTTTAGCTTCATATACATATTCAAGAAGAATTCCACAAGGCCTAGGAAGGTTCGAGATGCTGCGGTAGTTGAAGCCGGAGAAGTGAGTTGTAAGGCTTACCTTCAACTAGCTGTATTTTTAGAAAATAACTGCCTGAAATGAAGAGCTGCGCATAAAATCACTCAATTTGGAATAAATATTTAAGCAAAATATTTACCTGGCATATAAACACGACCATGAAACATGTAAATAAGGCTAAGGTATGGGCTAATGTCATTCTAACAGAGATCCTCGGCCTCGCATCCATGATGAGAAAGACCTGGTCCTCTGGCAGTCAAAAGTTGGCTAAATAAATAACTTCGAACTTTTTTCACTTGTTGCATATTTAATTCAAAGAGTTTGTGTTTCGAATCCGTTTCAACTTCAATTAACATTTTCTGAAATCGTTATATATGCGAATCAGCATGGACTATAATCTTTGTATCAACCTAAGCTTCTTAGATTCAACAGCTTGCAGAAAGAAAATCACTCGAGGTTGATTGTAGATTGTAGAAAGAGAATCACTCGAGGAATCAGCGGATCAGTTGAGAGGATTGCCGGTTCTCTTCAAAGTAACTGTGTTCAGGAGGTATACTTTTGAGCTATATAAATTAAACACGTCTCTTAGGCATTCACAAAAGCATTCACAAAGCAAAGTTGCTCATGCTCGAGGACTTGTCAAAACTAAAGCGGAATTGTACAATTGTAGACTGAATACCTGATCCTAAGCTGAATATAAATCCAATGCCGTTCCAATATAATTCCAATACTGTCCCAATACGGTTCAAATTATGAAACAAACAAGGTTCCAATACGGTTCCAATACGGTTCCAATACGGCTCCTATTAAGTTCTAATATGGTTCCAATTCGGATTCAATACGGTTCCAATACGGCTCCTATTAAGTTCTAGATAATGGGTAATGGATTTTTTAACTTTAATTGTATTTTGACATTTTAAAGTGGCTTTTCTTGTTTTCGGGGTGAATTGAAGACAACACGTGCTGAGGTCCGCTTCAAAAAAACGGTGCGTTTTGCCTCGCTGGCTTGTCATCGATGCATTGAGAGGTCGGTGAAAGATGATGTGGAGTCATGGACCTGCTGTTGCATCTCATCGTCAAGGAAGGTAATGGATTTTGAGCAATTCGCCGTACCGTAAGAGGTCTAATAAAAAAGACCCGCATCGGAGCGTCGCATAGTCTAAGTTTACTCTCAAGCGCTGGTGTTGAGATATCAGGGTTTGAGAGTAAACTTGGGCTATGCAACGCTCCTATATCAGAGCTTTTCTTAAAGCCTTTACTTAGAAAGGTCACGAAGCTAAACGTCATATGTTTTTCACTGATATTTACTTTTTTGTTTAGGTCTGCCTTGGAAGAACATTGGCGATAAGAACGCTGTACAACGCTGTAAAGCCGCAAAGAGGAGTCTCGCAAGAATAAGCATCTCTACGGAACGCTCAAGTGCAAGAATGTAGGTGATTCTTTGCAAACTCATAGCAAAACTCAAATTGCTGATTCTGACTTTTTATTTTTAGCGACTTAAGGCCAGCATTTTGACTTGATCAAAGGTTTTTTAGGACTATCAGAAGGCTCTCATCTACCACGATCGCTTCGAGTACACCGATCATGTCGATCATCAATTCACCTACGAGAAGCTCAAACGGGTAGGGTTTTATTTTTGTAGCGTTTACCATTAGCTGCCTTGGAGATTGTTAGATGGTTTGTTAGATCTGCATCTACTTTGTCATTTTGGATCGCTGCCAAGCAGAACATCAAGATCGACGACCCGTACGATTTCGAACCGCCTTCAAAGAAGTGAATAGCGCCAATGGAGGACAAAAAAAATGGATAATGGACTTTATTATTTGTGAATGAATAAATTAATAAATGATTGTATATCTTTGTGGCAAGGAACAATTTTAACTTTAGCCAAACACAAGATTTACCTTACAACACTCCAAAGCCTTCCTCGCAGAGCAGTCTGCCGATGGTGTAGGTCGACTTTCCACCCTTGATTGCTCCCTGAAAGGAAAAAAGAACAATGTAAAACATTAATAAAAATAGTCTTTCATAGAGTTTCGCGAAGCGAGCGACAGTTTTGATGCCAAAATAGCCAAAATTGCAAAAAATGCCACCAGAATAAGGTGATCAAAAAAAATTGCTTAAATTAAAACTTTAGTGGGGGCAGAGATCAAGACGGTGATTTAGTGTCTTTTCTTGGACACTTTTAGCATGCGCTTATAGTTAGACTGTTAGACTATTACATTCGTTATAGCCTAACAGAGTGTTTTCAAATTTCATTTCACGACTCGCAAAGTAGAAGGTTAAATCAATCCGTTGGCTCTTTCATAGAATTTTTTTGACAAAAATCGAGAAGTTTTGTTGAAGAAAGCGGATTCAGGATTAAATTACATATTGTATTAAATTTGGATTTAAAGCTGATCAAAGAAAAGAAATATCTTTCATTAAATTCTTTTAGCAACTAATCAAAGCGGGTCTGAAATGCAAAAAACCGATTATCCGACGATTGACGACCAAGCACTATTATTAGTGCTTGGTCGTCAATCGTCAACTTTTATCGAAATTTTTTATCGAGCAACTTTATTATGCATTTTTCAAATCTTTGGAGTCCCATTTGCCGTCGACTCTATGGGTTTTCGCTGACTTTCTTGTTGAGGCTAAATTAGAAAAAGTTGATACAGATAAAATGAACTCACATTTCACAAATTTTCTTGTAGCCGCCCAGGAAACTCTTGCAATGATCCCTATTGATGATTCCCCCGCTCACCCACAATTCAATCAGGCCCGCATGAATGTAGAAATATTGACCGCCGCCCTGCACTGCATGAAATCTGAAACGGGAAAGCGTTAAAAGAATTCTGCAACGAAAATACCTCATCTTGCGCAACTCCTTGAGCAGCTGGACCATCGTGAAGTCGGGATTGGCCATAATTGCTTGGTTGGCGTAGTCAACGGCTAAATAATAATTTAACTTTATCTAGCGAAATGGTCTTTGCCGACGAAGGCTGAAGTGCGGCCAATCCCCGCCGAGCAGTGCACCGTGATAGGATTTTCCAATGGAGCCCTGGTGACGCACTTCCAAGAGGGCTGAAAAGGACAAATTCTAGTAGTAAGAAAAAGATCACCGACCTATGATCTGTTCCAGATTGGTTGGAATTGAGTGGTCCTTCCAGGAGTTGACTAAAAAGTGTGTGACAATGAAGGGCTCCGCCAACCTAAACACCTAGCAATTATCCCATAGCCGAAAAGAAACAAACTTTCCCCGGGTGACCTGATATTGGTAGATTGACGTCTCCTTGTAAATCGAATGCAGTTTCCGGTCGTACGTGATCTTGTAATCGCCCGCGTTGATCGAGTGTCCTTTGGAGAATTTCGGGTAGTACCTAAATTTAGGTGTTTATTTTTAAACATAAAATTTTTTGCGTAACATAACTATAAATTTTAACCCGTCACCTTTCGCATTTGCTCTCTTTTCCCTCGTTCAGCGCGCACAGCATCACAATTTGAGTCGACTGCTCGGTAATGATCATATGCCAAAAATCCTAGATCAAAAGGTCAAAGAAACGTCACTGTTAAGAAACAATTGTGTCTTCCAGCAGCCCCTGTGTGCTGATCTACCGCCGACCGTTTGCCATTGTCATCCACGAGGCGTATATGTAGTCATTGCTCGAATCACGGTCCTAAATTCAAAAATTAACGGTTATCAAAATGAGACACCTTCAATTTCACCCGCGTATTGTCCAATTTCACCCGCGTATTGTCGATGTCGGGTAGCTAAAGCAAACAATTGTAAATCACCAAAAACTTTTTCAACTTGCCGATTTTTCGATTCGAATCGTTGCCAGGCAAGATACGTGTAGCTATCGGGCTTGATTTTTTCCATTTCTTTCGTTTTATACTCGTTGAAGATATTCTAAAAAGTAAAAATTATAAAAAGGATTGATGGGTTTTACCCTTTGTTTTTTTGAAAGCAAGGCTTCCGCGTAACTAGTGCGTGGATCCTTGGCAAAGGCAATGGCGGAGGCTTCTTTTTCTCAAGGATGTAGATCAGAAATATTGTTTTAAAGGGACGGACTCACAAAATAAGCAAAAATTCAGCCGCGTCAAGAAGTCATCCAAATTGTCTTCGGCCAGGAATGGGAGGACGGCATTACGGTGAGAATGGCTTTTTCTTCTCAAGCTCAGGCTCAACTCCTCTTAGGCTCATCTCTTTCAACTTCCTCTTAGGCTCATCTCTTTAAATAAGGTGCCCACTCTACGAGTTTACGATCCATTCATGCAAAAAATGTTAGAAATCGGGATTTGAATTAGGTTCTAATACGGTTCCAAAACGCTTCCTATTAAGTTCCAATATGGCTCCAATACGGGGAACCATATCGGAACCATATTGGAACCATATTCAAGCGAGTATTTCCTTTTCGAGCTAAATTTCCATTCTTTTGAGGAACGGCTCGCTTGCTAAAGCGGGGATGCGCTGGATGCACCAGATGCACCGTACCCCGCACAAAGATTTGCTTCTGCGATCCTTTTTATTTTCCGCATTTCGTGATGAAATTTTTATTCAGCTTTATCTCGAGTGTCCCTAATTTTTCTAAAATCAAGCAGAAATATGACAGCGTGAAATATGACAGCTTAAACGAGACGATCGATCAGTAACACGAGAATTGATGGCGTTAAGAGATGTCCTGGCGATATGATGCGCCCCTCAAGAGCGATATGATGCTCTCCTCTATCCACGCTTTGCTTGATCGAGTGCAGCCGTCGTCGTTGTCCCACTTCTGCCAGGAATTCGTCGGTTCCCGATATGGTTCCCCGTATTGGAACCATATTGGAACTTAATAGAGACCGTTTTGGAACCAACTTGAATTGTGGAATCAATAAGATTAACAAGAGCGGAATCGATAAGATTAAAAAACTTTATTTGCTAGGCCGGTTCACTGGACTTTTCATTATTGTAGTGAATGGACAGCTAGACGAGATACTTTCTGAGGAGTTCAAGGTTGTAGCTTTAGCTCCAAGTGCAAATAAAGTTCAGACCAAATTGGATGCATTCGCAAGAATAAAAGCCTCGCATTCAACCATAAATGCACGAAGTATAGGGTGAGAGCTGTTATTATTTTGTTATAGAAAACTGTTATTATTTTGTTTTTTGTTTTTGATTGTTAAACTTGTTTAATTGCTAAAGTATTGCTAAAAAATTTTGTAAAAACACAGCTAATAGTTAAAGCCCAACAGCCTAATCAAATAATTTTATTGACATTATAGCAAAAGGGTTTTAGAAAGAAAAAGATTGATGACGACTTCGTGAGGATGGCTCTCTTTTTGAGGATGGCTCTCTTTTTATAACCAGTACAGCCACACATCAAAGCTGAAGGTATGTTTTCTTGACATCCTGGTGAATCTTGGCGCGCAAACCTTCGGGCATTGAAGCGAGCACCTTCTAAAAATAGCAGAATCAAATATTGTAAGCCCGATAGATTTATTTATTAAAAATACTTTAGCAATTAAACAAGTTTAACAATCAAAAACAAAATAATAACAGCTCTCACCCTATACTTTGTGCATTTATCGTTGAACGCGAGGCTTTTATTCTTGTGAATTGCATCCAATTTGGTCTGAACTTTATTTGCAACTTGGAGCTAAAGCTACAACCTTGAACTCCTCAGAAAGTATCTCGTACGTGGGTGGTGGTGGAAGAGCTTCGATTTTAGCCTGGATACAGTTCAATTAGTTTATAGAAAAAGACTTACCTGAATATCGGCAGGTAGAGAGAGCAAAACTTCGACCACTTTGTCGAAATGAGCCTAAAGAGTTTAGAATTTTGAATGAAAAGTATCTTTCAATAAAAACCCGAAAAACAAATAATTTGTAAATTCTTCAATTTTAAAACCAACCATGGAATCAATCGAGTCATCAGTATGTAAAGCCATGAATTTCTTTAAAGCATCTGGTGGCAATAAGGCGATGAATGCAGGATTGAAATTGGCCATTATCTTAAAACTGTTCATAGCTTATAAACATCATTAAATAGTACACATGGAATGGAAGAGTTGAGAGCTACTCGTCAACCGGAATTTCATATCAGAAATTTTACGTGCAATTGGGTCTGATTGAAATAAAGCTTGTAAAAATATGCCTTCAGCAACCCCATAATTTCCATCTACTTCCACGCACAATTATACTCAAACTAGAAAACTATTAGGGTGAGTTATTTGGAAATTGGAATGAGAGTATTCAGCCGCAAAAAACCTAATATCTTTCACTTAAGCAAAGAATTTAAAATCTCCGCCGAATACTTTTTATTTCATCACACTGTAGTTTAGTTTCAGACTGCGCTAACTAAACAATTTTCTTTAGAACGTGAGATCGACTTCGAGATGCATGAATGCAAATTGTGCCTTGAAGTGTTGGAAACGAAGGAAAGGGGCTAAACAATGTACCCGTTGTTATGAACCGTTTCATCATGAGGTCGGTTCAATGGAAACCGATTTTGACTGTGTTTAAGAGCAGTTTAGAACAGGTTAGCGGCTTCTAAATTAAAACTTTAGTATGGGCAGTGATGATGAAGACGGTGATTTAGCGTATTTTCTTGGACACTTTCAGAATGCGCTTACGCAACATTCGTTATGGTCTAACAATGAGTGGTGTCAAATTTCATTTCACGACTCACGACATCTCACGACAAAGTAAAAGGTTGAATCTGTTGGCTCTTCTATAGAATTTTTTTGACGAAAATCGAGAAGTTTTGCTGAAGAAAGCGGATTCAGGAGCTTAGCAACTTCTTTTTCGATGCATCCCTGAGTAACTGTAGTCCTGTAGGAATCGGACCATCAGCCTTAAAACGATGAATGGCTGGTCGTCCACGATATTTGGATTGATTCCAAGACCAGAGCTTTTAAAGATGAGTTCTTCCGAAATTGCATCCCAAGCATCCACTCATTTTAAGTAAATCCATGGGCCTTTAGGTTCCCACTTTCGGTATGTTCAGGTGCCTGCAGCAAAACCCAATCCTAGTAGTAATCAGTGCCTTAAAAGGACCATTCCAAGTCCAGTAGTGAAAAAACTTCGTAGTCCCCCCTCCAGGAACCAAAAAACAGTCCAATTACTGATTGAGCTTTTGCCTCGTTGACCGCTTTGATGAGATGCAAAACGCTCCCAAATCAAAGAACAATCAGTTTTTGAAAAAACCCAAGTCATTTGAAGATCTCTCCAAACTCATCATTAAACCATTTATCTTTTTTCCAGCAAAGCAGCATGCGCTTCTTCGATTCGATTTTTTATCAACTCGGACCTTTTGCATCAAACCAAACCATCGAAAAAAATTATTACTATAAAAAAAATTACCACTATCAAAAACAAAAAAAAACTTTCAAAAACTCACGTGCTTCTTCGCCTGGGACAACGTTGGGTTGAAGTAAAATGATTTTTCTCGCTGTCAATATGTTCCTTTTATTTGAGATATATATTCAAATTTCAAAATATTCCGACAAATATTCAAAATATTTAAAATATGGCCTTAAAGGTTGGATTGGGATTTACAAATTATAGTGATCAAATTCTAGCAGCAAGAAAAAGATGACTCACCAATGATCTGTTCCAGATTGGTTGGAATTGAGTGGTCCTACCACGAGTTGACTAAAAAGTGTGGGACAATGAAGGGCTCCGCCGACCTAAACACCTAGCAATTATCCCATAGCCGAAAAGAAAACAAACTTTCGCCCGGTGACCTTATATTGATTTGTCGTCTCCTTGTAAATAGAATGCAGTGATCTTGTAATCGCCTGCCTTGATGTAAACCGAAAGCTGGTTTCATAATGACGCAATGTCATGAAAGTCTGCGAAGGAGTAAGGTTCGTTCATCTTGGCCATACTTAATTTTGTTTTAGTTCTTTTTTCCAATTTGGATCGTCAGGGTCGTAGTTGTTACCACTCTCATAGAAAATCGGACAAGCCCACCAGCCGGACTCAGGAAAATGAAACCAGAGTTCGGAACCAAAGAAGAGGAAGTTCGGAAATGTTTGATTGGTGAGGAAATTTGTTCTATAGCTACTCTGTCACAAGGCATGGCCAACGTACTCAAAAATCTTCTCAATCGATTGGACTAACAGATCGGCGGTAGAAAAAAGGCAAAACCGTTCTTAAAGAATTTTCCAAAGGCAACAGAGCAAACGTGTAAGCAGATCAATTATTGGCTCGTTTTTGGGATAAGTATTTGAGTTTTAGGCTGGTAGGCTAATGATCGGCACTTAAGAAATTTAGGAGATTCAGAATTTTTTCTTAATAAAGCAAATGCTCTTTTTTCTTAATAAAGTAACCAAATAAACCAATACGGTTCCAATACGGTTCCAATACGGTTCCTATTATGAAACAAATAAGGTTCCAATACGGTTCCAATACGGCTCAATCCTGTCCTAATACGGGTCCTATTATGAAACAAATAAACAAATGGGACCGTATCGGAACCTTATTTGTTCCATGATAGGAACCGTATTGGAACCTTATTTGTTCCATGATAGGAACCGTATTGGAACCGTATTGGAACCGTATTGGAACCATACTGGAAGCTTATTTGTTCCATCATAGGAACCGTATTGGAACCGTATTGGAACCATATTGGAACCTTATTTGTTTCATAATAGGAACCGTATTTGAACCGTATTGGAAACGTATTGGAACCCTATTTGTTTCATAATAGGAACCGTATTGGAACCGTATTGGAACCGTATTGGAACCGTATTGGGGCCGTATTGGAACCCTATTGGAACCGTATTGGAACCGTATTGGAACCGTATTGGAACCAGATTAGAACTTAATAGGAGCCGTATTGGAACCGTATTGGAACCGTATTGGAACTATTTTGCAACAAAATGATGGGAAACCCAGCCAGGCTGTTGGCCATCATTTTGCTCATCGTCCTCTGTTGCTGCCTCATGGTTACGGGTGTCGGCATCGTGACAGCCTGGTAAAGCTAAGTTTTGGTTTAGTTTTAAGACATTACTTTAGCTTCATATACATATTCAAGAAGAATTCCACAAGGCCTAGGAAGGTTCGAGATGCTGCGGTAGTTGAAGCCGGAGAAGTGAGTTGTAAGGCTTACCTTCAACTAGCTGTATTTTTAGAAAATAACTGCCTGAAATGAAGAGCTGCGCATAAAATCACTCAATTTGGAATAAATATTTAAGCAAAATATTTACCTGGCATATAAACACGACCATGAAACATGTAAATAAGGCTAAGGTATGGGCTAATGTCATTCTAACAGAGATCCTCGGCCTCGCATCCATGATGAGAAAGACCTGGTCCTCTGGCAGTCAAAAGTTGGCTAAATAAATAACTTCGAACTTTTTTCACTTGTTGCATATTTAATTCAAAGAGTTTGTGTTTCGAATCCGTTTCAACTTCAATTAACATTTTCTGAAATCGTTATATATGCGAATCAGCATGGACTATAATCTTTGTATCAACCTAAGCTTCTTAGATTCAACAGCTTGCAGAAAGAAAATCACTCGAGGTTGATTGTAGATTGTAGAAAGAGAATCACTCGAGGAATCAGCGGATCAGTTGAGAGGATTGCCGGTTCTCTTCAAAGTAACTGTGTTCAGGAGGTATACTTTTGAGCTATATAAATTAAACACGTCTCTTAGGCATTCACAAAAGCATTCACAAAGCAAAGTTGCTCGAGGACTTGTCAAAACTAAAGCGGAATTGTACAATTGTAGACTGAATACCTGATCCTAAGCTGAATATAAATCCAATGCCGTTCCAATATAATTCCAATACTGTCCCAATACGGTTCAAATTATGAAACAAACAAGGTTCCAATACGGTTCCAATACGGTTCCAATACGGCTCCTATTAAGTTCTAATATGGTTCCAATTCGGATTCAATACGGTTCCAATACGGCTCCTATTAAGTTCTAGATAATGGGTAATGGATTTTTTTAACTTTAATTGTATTTTGACATTTTAAAGTGGCTTTTCTTGTTTTCGGGGTGAATTGAAGACAACACGTGCTGAGGTCCGCTTCAAAAAAACGGTGCGTTTTGCCTCGCTGGCTTGTCATCGATGCATTGAGAGGTCGGTGAAAGATGATGTGGAGTCATGGACCTGCTGTTGCATCTCATCGTCAAGGAAGGTAATGGATTTTGAGCAATTCGCCGTACCGTAAGAGGTCTAATAAAAGACCCGCATCGGAGCGTCGCATAGTCTAAGTTTACTCTCAAGCGCTGGTGTTGAGATATCAGGGTTTGAGAGTAAACTTGGGCTATAACGCTCCTATATCAGAGCTTTTCTTAAAGCCTTTTACTTAGAAAGGTCACGAAGCTAAACGTCATATGTTTTTCACTGATATTTACTTTTCTGTTTAGGTCTGCCTTGGAAGAACATTGGCGATAAGAACGCTGTACAACGCTGTAAAGCCGCAAAGAGGAGTCTCGCAAGAATAAGCATCTCTACGGAACGCTCAAGTGCAAGAATGTAGGTGATTCTTTGCAAACTCATAGCAAAACTCAAATTGCTGATTCTGACTTTTTATTTTTAGCGACTTAAGGCCAGCATTTTGACTTGATCAAAGGTTTTTTAGGACTATCAGAAGGCTCTCATCTACCACGATTGCTTCGAGTACACCGATCATGTCGATCATCAATTCACCTACGAGAAGCTCAACGGGTAGGGTTTTATTTTTGTAGCGTTTACCATTAGCTGCCTTGGAGATTGTTAGATGGTTTGTTAGATCTGCATCTACTTTCTCATTTTGGATCGCTGCCAAGCAGAACATCAAGATCGACGACCCGTACGATTTCGAACCGCCTTCAAAGAAGTGAATAGCGCCAATGGAGGACAAAAAAAATGGATAATGGACTTTATTATTTGTGAATGAATAAATTAATAAATGATTGTATATCTTTGTGGCAAGGAACAATTTTAACTTTAGCCAAACACAAGATTTACCTTACAACACTCCATTTTACCTTACAACACTCCATACAACGCTCTGATATAGGAGCGTTGCATAGCCCAAGTTTACTCTCAAACCCTGATATCTCAACACCAGCGCTTGAGAGTAAACTTAGACTATGCGACGCTCCGATGCGGGTCTTTTTTATTAGACCTCTTACGGTACGGCGAATTGCTCAAAATCCATTACCTTCCTTGACGATGAGATGCAACAGCAGGTCCATGACTCCACATCATCTTTCACCGACCTCTCAATGCATCGATGACAAGCCAGCGAGGCAAAACGCACCGTTTTTTTGAAGCGGACCTCAGCACGTGTTGTCTTCAATTCACCCCGAAAACAAGAAAAGCCACTTTAAAATGTCAAAATACAATTAAAGTTAAAAAATCCATTACCCATTATCTAGAACTTAATAGGAGCCGTATTGGAACCGTATTGAATCCGAATTGGAACCGTATTGGGACCACTTTAGAATTTAATAGGAACCATATTGGATTAAAACCGTATTGGAACTGTATTGGAACCGTATTGGAACCATATTAGAACTTAATAGTAACCGTATTGGAACCGTATTGGAACGGTATTGGAACCATATTACAACCTTAATAGGAACCGTATTGGAACCTTCCAATACGGTTCTAATACGTTCCCATTAAGTTCTAATATGGTTCCAATACGGTTCCAATACGTTCCCATTAAGTTCTAATATGGTTCCAATTCGGTTCCAATACGGTTCCAATACGGTTCTAATATGGTTCCAATACGGTTCCAATACGTTCCCATTAAGTTCTAATATGGTTCCAATTCGGTTCCAATACGGTTCTAATATGGTTCCAATACGGTTCCAATACGGTTCTAATACGGTTCCAATACGGTTCCAATACGGTTCCAATACGGTTCCAATACGGTTCCAATACGGTTCCTATTAAGGTTGTAATATGGTTCCAATACCGTTCCAATACGGTTCCAATACGGTTACTATTAAGTTCTAATATGGTTCCAATACGGTTCCAATACAGTTCCAATACGGTTTTAATCCAATATGGTTCCTATTAAATTCTAAAGTGGTCCCAATACGGTTCCAATACGGTTCCAATACGGTTCCAATTAAGTTCTAATATGGTTTCAATACGGTTCCAATACGGTTTCATTCTGGTTCCAATACGGTTCCTATTAAGTTCTAATATGGCTCCAATACGGTTCCAATACGGTTCCTATTAAGTTCTAATATGGTTCCAATACGGTTCCAATACGGTTCCAATATGGTTCCAATATGGTTTTAATACGGTTCCAATACGGTTCCTATTAAGGTTGTAATATGGTTTTAAGGAGCCTTGAAGGAGCTTGAAAGGAGCTTTATAGGAACTAAATAGGGACTATAAAGGAGCTTTAAAGGAGCTTTAAAGGGGCATTGAAGGGGCTATAAAAGAGCTTTGAAGGAGCTTTAAAGGAGTTTAAAAGGAGCCTTAAAGGAGCTTGAAAAGAGCTTTAAATGAGCTTTAAAGGAGCTTTAAAGGGGCATTGAAGGGGCTATAAAAGAGCTTTGAAGGAGCTTTAAAGGAGTTTAAAAGCAGCCTTAAAGGAGCTTGAAAAGAGCTTTACATGAGCCTTAAATTAGCTTGATAGGAGCTTTATAGGAACTAAATCGGGACCATAAAGGAGCTTTAAAGGAGCTATAAAGGAGCTTCAAAGGAGCTTTAAGGAGCCTTGAAGGAGCTTGAAAGGAGTTGGAATGAGCCTTAAAGGAGCTTGATAGCAGCTTTATAGGAACTAAATAGGGACTATGAAAGAGCTTTAAAGGAGCTTTAAAGGAGTTTAAAAGGAGCCTTAAAGGAGCTTGAAAAGAGCTTTACATGATAGTTCCAATACGGTTCCTATTAAGTTCTAATATGGTTCCAATACGGTTCCAATACGGTTCCTATCAAAGTTTTAATATGGTTCCAATACGGTTCCAATACGGTTCCAATACGGTTCCAATACGGTTCCAATACGGTTCCAATCCAATACGGTTCCAATCCGGTTCCAATACGGTTCCTATTAAGTTCTAATATGGTTCCAATACGGTTCCAATACGGTTCTAATACGGTTCCAATACGGTTCCATACGGT